CCCCAAAACCCCAAAACCCCAAAACCCCAAAACCCCACCCAAAATCTTCGGTTGAAGATTTATCATCATTAATAAAAATGATTACGACTCAGTTACTCAGAAAATCTAGAGGCCCCATTTCTGTTGCAAAGAGGTTTGCCTCCACGAGAGTGATTCATATTGACTTCAAGGATATTGTCAACCAAGAGAAGTCTCTGTTCCCGAAGTTTGAAGAAGCGTATGGAAATGATGGCATTGGAGCCTGCATTGTCAATAATATCCCTGAGTTCCCAGAGAAGAGGAGAGCCCTCCTACCCTACGCACAGAAGATTACCAAGTTGGAGAAGGACATTCTAGAGACTCTAGAGTCTCCAGAACTTCTTTATGGAGTTGGCTGGTCTCATGGTCGTGAGAAATTTCAGGGAAAGCCCGATTTTCTGAAGGCAAGCTTCTATGCTTGCCCTCTTTCTGACACTTTCAAGATGAACTTCTCTGAGACTGACCAGAGAGAAGCCAGTAATTTGTGGCCAGCTCCAGGTGCTTTGGATGGATTTGAGACTGCATTTAAGGATTTAGGTCAGTTTATAAATAAAGTTGGTCTCCAAGTAGCTAAGAATTTGGATAAGTATATTAAGTACAGAGCAAATACTTATGAAGATGGATTGATTCATAGACATCTTAAGAACTCGATCAAGACCACAGGCAGACTTCTTCATTATTTCCCAGTCAATGAAGAGGTAGACATGAGCGATATGAAATGGTGTGGGTGGCATAATGATCATGGAACCCTTACAGGACTATGCTCAGCAATGTATTTAGACAAAGATTTCAATGAAGTGGACCCAGAGGAAGTTGAAGACGATGTATCTGGTTTATTCGCAATGACAAGAAACCATGAGGAAATCAAAATTAAGATCCCTCAGAACTCCTTAGCATTCCAGATTGGAGAAACTTCTCAAATTGTTAGTGGAGGAATTCTATGTGCTACTCCTCACAGTGTTGTATCAAAGCCAAGCACTAAAGGAATATCGAGAAACACTTTTGCCTTGTTTTTGGAGCCAAATTCAGACACTCAATTGTATGTCCCAAAGGATACAGATCCAAAGGCTGTACACAAGCAGGATCCTACTAACCAAGTTCCTTTAATAGAGGATAGATGGGATGTAGGAAATGATTTCGGAGCATTTGAGAGAAAAACTTTCCAAAAATACTATGAGCATCATGGATAAAGCATTGCTCAGGAAGGTACTAATAAGAGCTTATCAAGAAATTTCAATATCTACTATGCAGTTAGGGGTTTTGGGGTTTTGGGGTTTTGGGGTTTTGGGGTTTTGGGG